GACATTAAAATTTATAAAAAAATGACATATTTAAAAGTGTATGGATCAACATTATTTTTTTATAAGAAATAATATTTTTTAATAATCCCTTTTTCATTCGACATACTTTATCTTAATTAGGATATTAATAATGAACTAGCAGATCATGTAGCTTTTGGAATAATCCACCAATTTTTTAAAATTAAACACTATCTAAAGATTTGCATCGAAGCGTTTTTTTTTTATACTGATTTTAATCACTGTCAGATATCATTATACTTGATCCATCTATGCCACGTCACCACTGTGCCGCGACCCCCCTGTGCTGGGTTTTTTACCTAAAATTTCCATAACAAAATGAAGAAATCGATAAAATTTTTATAATTTATAGATATTTGAAGTTTTTACCTATCATATTGTACATTTTTTTTAGAAATCTGATCCTTTATCTGCCCATAGGGGGGATTCAAAATGACAACTTTTTCAACTTAACTTTTGAAAGTGTTCTGGAAATACTGACATTTTTATATACAGGCTGGCCCACCACTCACTGACAACTTAAATAACTTTTGATCCAGTTAATATTTTTAGCTGATTTTTTTTTTTTAAATAATAGTTATACGTTAGGTCTATAGCTATATCTCAATAATTAATTTTTTTACATTTTATTAAAAATATTAATTATTTTTAAATTTTAAATAAAATGTAAAAAAAAAATCTAAGATAGCTATTTTGTAGAGTAGAATTTAAGAAAAATTTTAGTAAAAAAATATCTTATTAATATTCANGTAGAATTTAAGAAAAATTTTAGTAAAAAAATATCTAAATATTAAGTAGTAAATATTCTGTAGCGTTTTAAAGTTTGTGAAAATTTGAATTTTCATGTATTATTTTACGGTATTAAACATTGAAATAATTGAGAAAAGGACAAAAGAATCTTTTCATGATTACTGTGTATACATTAAAAACTTGACATTAATACCATGATATGACATTAGATAAGGAAATTATTACTTATCACTCTCATTCAAAAGTATAAGTCATTTTCATGGAAAAAGTTACACACCTCCAATTTATAGTAATCATGAAAAGATAGCGTTTTCTTCTGTCCTTTTCTCAATACGTATTTCNTGTAGATATTTTTTTACTAAAATTTTTCTTAAATTCTACTCTACAAATAGCTATCTTAAATTTTTTTTTTACATTTTATTTAAAATTTAAAAATATTTAATATTTTTAATAAAATGTAAAAAAATTAATTATTGAGATATAGCTATAGACCTAACGTATAACTATTATTTAAAAAAAAAAAATCAGCTAAAAATATTAACTGGATCAAAAGTTATTTAAGTTGTCAATGAGAGGTGGGCCACTCTGTATACCATAAATTAAAACTTATGTAATATACTTTATTATGGAAAAAGAAATCGGACTTTATTTTGTCTTCGTCGTGAAAATGGCTACCAAATGCTATTTTTATGTAAAATTCTCGATTTTATTTTTTACGTTTTTAACTTATAATGCTATCACTTATTGAAAAGTGTATGCATCAATACAATTTTTTTATAAGAAATAATATTTATATCCCTCTTTCAATCGACATACTTTTTTTTAAATAAAACCATATCCCGTTCTATATTTATATATTATAAATTTATATTTATTTATTTATTCATATATTACAATTATAAATCATAAAACTTGTAATTAGTTGAAAATTCTTGATTTTATTTTTTACATTTTTAACTTTATAATGCTATAACTTTTTGAAAAGTGTATGGATCAACACAATTTTTTTATGAAAAATAATATTTTTTAATAATCCATTTTTCATTCTGGATATTAATAAGAAAATAGCAGATCATGTAGCTTTTGTAATTATCCATCAATTTTTTAAAATTAAACATTATCTAAAGATTTGCATCGAAGCGTTTTTTTTTATAGTGATTTTAATCACTGTCAGATATCATTATACTTGATCCAACTATGCCACGTCGTCACTGTGCCGCGACCCACCAGTGTTAAGTTTTTATGATAGTGTTTTTAATCATTGTCAGTTTATATCTTTACTGTTCCCAACTATGCAATGTCCCCACTATGTGGGGGTTCTTTTTTTATGTTTTCTAACTTTGTTACCTCAATTTATTATAAGCTATTATTAGCTAGAACATTTTCTTAATCAGATCATTTCAAATTGATGCTATGCTTAGAAGTTATTAATTTTACTATGATGCGTTTTTTTTAAAGTCCGTCTCCCATTTTTCTCCACTTTCGCCCAACTTTAAACAATACTTCAAAATATCAAACATTGTATTTAGTTGAAGATAGTACCCTCAAAAATAAAATAATTTTCTTCATTCCTTAAATTGGAAAAAATACCC